GTGCGGCAGGTGGATAGATGCACGCTGTTGTTGTATGCACTAGCTACCTTAGGCAACATCTCATCCCAGTTAATCTGATCTGGTCTAATGTACATGCGCATAACTTGCTGTAGGATCTTGTTCATCTGTTTTGTTTGACCGTTAGTCTATGGGTGACGGTCGGACGACATTAACAACTTAGATCCATAGACTCTCATGAGTTCTTGCCAGTTCTGGCTGGTGAAACGACTGTCCCTATCACTAACTATTGACACTGGGATTTCATTCTCACTAACCCAAAAGCCAAAAAACTTCTGTATAACTAAGTCTGTACGTGCCTCTGCAGGCAAAGGGACGAAAACTGCATATTTACTAAAACGGTCCACTACGTCCATGACTTGGCTCTTACCATGTGTACTCTTGACTTGGGTGTCCATGAAGTCTATGGACACGGAGTCTCCCGGCTGATCCGGAATAGGCAAGGGTCTGAGAAGACCTAGGGGCGCGCGTGTAGTAGATTTATTCCTCTGGCACACTTTACAACTGCGGACATACTCTATGCAGTCATTCTTCATCCCTGACCAGGTATACGCACGCATCAGGTTGGCTAATGTCTTTTGCCAACCGAAATGCCCTTCAGTATCGTGGCATTCCCCTAAAATCAAACTATGGATCTCTTCGCTGTTGGGAACGCACAGACTCTCTAACTCTCTTTAGGGGGTCGCTATAGATAGGGTCCTGCACATATGCTTACCTCACTTTCTCCTGCAGGTCTCTCCTTATATCGAGATAGTGTACTACAGCTCCAAAGTAGTCTGATCTCCTACTCAGAACATCCGGAACTACGTTGTACTTGCCCTTCACTGGCTTGAGCTCAAAGTCGAATTGGTCTATCTCTGCGGCCCACCTAGTCAACTTAGGTGTCATCTTGGCCTGAGTCTTTAACCATCTAAGCGTTTCGTGGTCCAAATACACTTTGAAGTGTCTCCCAAGCAGGTAGTGCTTCCAATGATCTACAACCTGCCAGAGAGCGTAGAGTTCTCTCTCGTACGAGGAGGCAGCAACCTTCTCACAGGGCATCCTCGCTGACATGAACTCTACGGGTCTATAGCCATTGTCGTCATCTTGCTGCAACACAGCGCCTATTCTGTACTGGCTCGCGTCCGTGGTGACGACAAATGGCAAAGACGGATCTGCAACTTTGAGGATAGGATACTCTATTAATGCGCGCTTTAGCTTCTTGAGCGCAGACGTACAGTCTTTGTCCCATTGCCAGATTGCCTCTTTCTTCAGCAATCGGCGCAAGGGAGCGACAATAGTGGAGAAGTTCCTCACGAACTTCCTATAGTAGTTAGCTAAGCCTAGGAACGACCGCAACTCTGTCAATGTGCGGGGCGTCGGCCAATCTCTAATCGCCGCGATCTTGCTGTCCTCTGGCTTGATGCCATCTCCGTCTAATACGTGGCCCAAGTACAAAACCTGTCTCTTATACACATCTAGATGTGTATAAGAGACAGGTCTATAAGGGCCCCTACTCTACTTCTGAACACCTCTACATCTACCAAAATCAGCTGTCCCTTACTCTCCCTTTTCATTTTGGCCCAGGCTGGCATTCTCTCTTTTAACTCTTCTGCCACACCTGTGAGGGACGTGCCTAAAGAGACGCTAACACAAGCAGTCTCTGGACAACTATCTAGGCACGGGCCTGCAACCTCTGCCACAGGCTCATGTGGGTTGGGAGTGTCCTGTTCGCGCACGCTCACTTCTCCACATGGCCTGGAAGTAGGGGTAGTTGCGACCCCTACTGGCGGCTGCCTTTTGACTGTTGAGCAGCCCAACGGGCCTGTCTATACTTTGGACAAAATTTTATTACGTGTGCCGGGTCACCACAGAATACGCACTGACCCATGTTCACGCGTTCCTGCCATAATCACTGGTCCAAGCCCAAGTCTTCCCAGGGCCTGCCCTGCGGCAAGCCTGGATGCCATCCTCCTTGAGGTGCCCTTCCACCTCCTCGCTGTGGGGACCGGTTACCCTGGCGATTTAACGGGGGACCTTGACCCCTACCTCCCGCTTGGCGGTTTCCTGTCCGCCAACCCCCTCTGCACCCGGTCCTCGGCCTCCCATGACCTGGCCCTTTTGGCCCTGGCCTCCTCCTCTACCTTGCGGCCTCCCTCCGGCCGCGACAGCAGCGTAAGACCTCCCCTGCCCTACGCTACTGTACTCCTCCCCTAGGCCCCACTCAATCTGATCATATGGGACCTCTTCTATACCACCCTCCTCTAATGTCAGGATCAAGTGATCCTTGGCCTTGACTTGGCCCGAGATGATACGATTTTTCCACTTCTTCCCCTTCTCCAGGTCCTTGTGCCAGAAAGTGGTAACTGGCATAGACTTCGACTCATACAGGACGACTTCTCTACTCAATGCATCGTAAGTCATGCCGGCCTGCTGAGATTTGTCAAAGAAATGCCCGCGTAGGGCCTCTGGAATGGCACGATAAAACAACTGGACCAACTGGGGCTCAGTGACCCCGTGGTCTGGGACGGCTACCAAGTCGTCCATGGTACCCTTGAGTGCCTTGGCACTCCTCCACTGCCGGGAGTGGATCGTTTGGAGCTTATCAGAGGCTCTAATGCCTCGCGTTGGGTCAACGAACCGCTCCTTGAGGAGCTTGAGGAATTGGAAAAGAGGAGTGACTTTGGAATATGCAACAAGGTTGTTTTCACAACCGGCTGTACGCGCAAGAGACCTGGCGAAGCTAGCCGCTTCATCTTTGAGGGCCTGGAAGGCCATAAGGACTTGTTCCTCGGCCAGGATATGCTGCAAGTAAATATAACTATTGACACTGGCTTCCCAGTTGTCAAAGTTTTCTTCCTTCTTTCCCCCGTACGCATCCGGAAACTTAAGCTTCATTGGGTCCTTACGGGGCCTGGCCTCTTCCTCTGCGGCGGCTACAGCTTTGGCACCCTGAATGGCGCCCTCACAAAACTTCCGTACATTGTCTCTCAACTGTTTGACTTCTCCCCCAATATGGGTGACGATCTCGGGCGCAAAGTCTCTAAACCCTGACCGCATGGCACTCAAGGCTACATCTTGGCTCCAACTTGCCTGGCGTTCTTCCATCCAGGCCTTGCTCAACACCTCTAGATAGCCCAGTACTTTGTCCAACTTGGCCTTATCATCTGGCTGGGCCAGCACCTCCGCTCTACACTCCTGCACCTTTGCCACTGCTGCGGTCATCTTATTCACTACCTCTCTCCTCCTCTTCTTCTCCCTCTTCATTCTCAACTTCCATGCTAACTTTTGCTCGTCTTCCCTCTCTCTTCGTTTCATTGGGTCTGTCATGGCTGCTAGCTCAGTGGCCAGCGCAGCCTTCTCATCCTTAGTCACATAKGACTCCGCCTCCTCGTCTTCCCCCAACGATAAATTAGCGACCCACTCGCTGATCTTCTTCTCCAGCTCAGTATCGGTCTCCCACTTCATCGTGCCACCACTACTTCCTTCCCCACTCTCAATTCTCATTCTCTCTTTCTCTTCTTCTGCTGCCGCTTCTGTTTCAGCAGCCTTCCTTCTTTCTTCCTCCTCCTGTTGTACCCTCTTCATCTCCTCCTCCAACCTCTTCATCTTTGCCGCCTTCTCATCTGCGATAGCCTTTAGCTTCGCCTGCTTCTCGCGCTCTTTTCTCTCCTTGTTCTCTTTCACTAAGGCGGCCATCTTTGCTTGCTGCTCAGGGGTGTAGGGACTAGTCTCCGTCCCACTACGGGTCTCAACCATGGTGATAAGTGTACAACCGGGTTAGTGGTTCCAAACCTCACCACATAGACTCTGACCCTTGACTGACAAACCTGTAGACTCAATCTAAGAACCCACGGAATCCTGACAAGGACCCTGTCAACTATGGTCTCTAGCCTAGACCTATGCTATGGCTGTCACTATTGAACCAGTGGCTGATCAGGAGGCATTTAAGGAGATCCTCAAGAATTCTTTAACGTCGCAGACAGGACGACGTGATCAGCTTGGTTCTCTCTGTGCTTTCAGCCCACAACTCAGCCTTTCCGGCCTACTGTGCCACACCGAGCAGCCCGCCGGTCTGTACCGGTCCTTGGGAGGGTTCGTATCCCCCGGGACAGTCGAGTCGTCAGACACAGATCATCAACCTTACTTGGTCTGGTAGGGGAGTTGTTCCAACAGGCCCTCAACACTTAAAGACGGCCTCCGTTTCAGC